CCTGTGATTAGAAAAACTCCTACTACATTGAGGCCATATTCAATGGAGATATTGTCATGCAATTTTCAACCAGATAAAGAAAAGGTGATGATGGCTCCATCTGCAAAAGCTTTGACTCTTATTGATGAGAGTCTACTCAATTTTATCAGTTATTTCATGTATAGAGAGTGCTTGACTCATCATTTTCTATACATTTTAGATCCTATGTCAATTGATCCAAAGCCATCGCCTAGAGGAGATTTTGATGAGCTTAGAGAGAAGAATATTTTAAACAAGCATCTATTCTCCATCAAAGATGAGAATTTCATCTTTAAGAGCTTACAGAGATTTAAATTATCTAGTTATCTCTTCTCCTTTCACTTTTACCTTGCATTTTATATTTTATTCTTGGATTAACTGGATTCTTCTAAATTGAGTTGCATTGAGGGAAATGCAAGATTTAAGTGTGGGGGAAGGGACTTGTCTTTATTTTGAAAAGTTTCTTTTTAAAAAAATTAGGTGTTTTCTTACATTTTTTTAATACCTTTGTTGTCTTTTTGGTGTGAAGTTGTGAGTATAAGGCCATTTTAATTTGGATACATTTGAGCATGATAAATAATTGATCTTATGTTTAGAATTTAAGTTAAGTGATAATGAATTTGGTTTCAATGGATTAATGTGATAGTCTTTAACTTGTAAGAATTTGGGTCTAATATTATTCTCTTCTTGCGTGTATTCTTCTATCACTACTCTTACTCTAGAACTTGTCTTAATTCTTATTTGAGACTACAATTGCATATGTTTTGCATGAAGATGATTTAGGCATTCTTTTCTTTTAACCTACTTAACTAAATAGCCATCCTATGTAATTTTTTCCTTATTAGCCCTTTTAAGCTTAGACCTTTTTCTTTAAAATTTTAGCCATTGAAAATATAACTAATAAAATATTTTTTTCCTTCATTTTTCTCACCCCACTTTAAGTAAAGAGAAGTGTATCATAATATTTATTGGAATGAAAGAATATGCTTAAAGAGAAATTTGGGTCATTTTGAAAAAAAGAAAAAAGAAGGGGCCAAAAAGCAAAGAAAGAAAAAAGAAAGAAAGAAAGGACGGAAGAAAAAAGAAAAGAAAAGAAAAGAAGGAGCATAAAAGGTAGAAAGCAAAAAGAAAAAAAAATAAAAAAGTGCATGAAGCAAAGGAGGAAAAAAACAAAGAAAGAAAAACCCAAATCAATTTATTTTATTTCTTTCATTTATATATTTCATTTCAAATATGTTTTTCATTTTTTTAAAGTTTATTAGCTTTCATTTTCCCTATTTTTATACCATATCTTTACTTAAGCCTCATTACAATCTAAAATAAAGTCCATTTAATTTTTGCATTGCATATGACATAAATTGTGGAGACTTAGATGATAAACAAGCCTATAATAATGAGGTTTTGATAGGAAAACTTGAGTGAAACACTTACCTATAAACACTTGAGCGTTGAGAGTTAAACATTTAACTTTTGTGAGGGGCTATTGCTTGATTCATTATTACAAAATGAAATTGCTATGATACTTGTTATTTTGGATATAAGAGAGATTGATTAGAGTGTTAAAATATTAAAGAGTTATGATTGTTTTTATTTTGTGTTGCTTTCACATTTCTTTTCTTGAAGTTTGAGATTTAAATTTTGTCCAATAGTGCAAAAGTCTAAATGTGGTGGAATTGGTAAATAGCAGTTTTATATATTTTTATTCTTTTAATTTAGACTTTTAAATATTTATTTAAGGCTAATTGAATTTAATTGAATATTATTTGATTTTACTAGTCAATCTTTAACTTTTGGATTTTAAATCATAAAAACTATGTATTTTTAATTTTTTTAAATTTTTTTAAAAGTATTCAAAAAAATTTTTAAAAAATAATATTTTAGTAAAAAATTATATTTTAAAACAATTTAATTAAAATATATTAAAATTAATATTTTATTTTAAGTATATTTTGATTTTTTTTGCCAGGTTTTGGACTTGCACTTTCGGTACGAAATTTAATTAGGGATGTTATTTACTCTTGCCACTCCCTCTCTCTTACTGTCGCCTCTCGCTGCTCAAACTCTCGCGCTCTCTTCTCCTCCGTCGTCATTGGCTCTTCAATTGGTTCGTGTTGTGCCTTTGTTGGTCTCTGGTTCTCTCGCCCTAGGTGGAAGGGAGAAGCTCACTCAATTGGGCACGTTTTCTTCTGCCTTTTCTCACTCAACCTCTAAATTGGTGGCTTCATTTTTTTAAGTGGGGGTTTGGTTGCTTTGTTTTTCTGATGAATCTGATTTGCTTGCATCTTGTTTAAGTGGGGTTTTGCTTGCTCAAGGTTTAGAAATTTGTCTAGGGTTTTTAGTTTTTACTCTCATTTCTCCTTGTTTCATTCTTCGCTTCAGTCCCTCACACCTCTTTCTGACTCTCGCCTCTCTCGCCGCCCTCGTTGGTCCCTCGTTCTCTCGCCCTAGATGGAAGAGAGAAGCTCACTCAATCACTCAATTAGATAAGTCTTCTTCTGCCTCTTCTCTCACTCAATCTCTAAATTGGTGGTTTCATTTGTTTAAGTCGATTGTTGTTGCTTTGCTTTTCTGATGAATCCGATCTGCTTGCATTCCACATTTTCTTTCTTTTTTTGATTTGATTTTCATGTTAAATACTCTTCCTCCCTGCCTTCTGTGCCGAGCTGCTCTTGCTCATTTGGAGAACTAGAAAAAAAGAAACTAATTCCTCCTTCCTGTGCGTTGCCTTGCCTGAGTTACAGAGCAGAAGATTTTTTTTTTCTTTCTCCATTTTGGTCGAAATAGCAGCATTTTTTTTACTTTCTCCATTTTGATCGAAATAGCAACATTTATGATCTGTTGTTAGGGGATAAAATTCTTGAAACTTGCCACATTTTCTTTTTTTTTTATTTGATTTTCATGTTAAATACTCTTCCTCCCTACCTTCTGTGTCAGGCTGCTCTTGCTCATTTGGTGAACAAAAAAAAAAAAAAAAAAGTCTGCTCTTTACTCTTTCTCATTCACTCATGCTCTTTCTTTCACACAGTTTGTGGTGTTAAAAATGGCTCAAAATCTGATTCCTTTTAAAACTGTAAGAGTATCAATATATAAAAAATGTTTTTTTTATTTGTTTATTTATGGTTATACACTCTAACCTAGTGTATTTTGGAATTTTCAGTCGGCAGCTTGTGATCATTTGGTTAAATTGAAGCAATGGGTGTTAGATCCTAAAGTCCTCAATTATGAGGGTCTTCAAAGAACAAGCATGTATAAAATTTCTGAAATAGTTAAGTTTAGAGTAGATATAGAACTTGTTAATAGGGTTTGTAATTCATATACTGATGGGTATTTTCAGTTAGGTAATCATAGTTTCTTTAGGGTTAGAAGATGTTTTATTTTGATTGGCCTTCCTATTGATGGGAAGGCAGTTTGCGGCAATTGTACAAAAAATAAAGAAAATCTTAGAGATTTTTTAAACGTAGATGATGATAATATAAATAATAATAAATGATTTGTGACTTTGGATTGGCTCAAAAATTTTTTTATGACTGTGCCATCCGAGATTGAGATAGGAAGCCCTAGCTTATGACCGTATGTCAAGGCTTATTTGCTTTATGTTGTTAGTTGTCTTGTTTTTCCTTCTACCTCCGGGGCATTAATTACGCATCTTCCTTACTTGGAAGATGTGTCGAAAGTAGATGATTACACTTGGGGTGCTGTTATGTTGGCGTATGTTTATTTCTCTCTTAAAAAGGTTTAGCCAACAGAAAGAAAAAGGCCAACCAATGATAAAGGAGGAAATTTTGATGGTAGTAGCATTTTGATACAGGTGAGCTAATGCTTTTCCTCTCTTTATTTTTTGACATATGCCTAACCACACAAACATACATAAGCACATGCACTAGCTAGCTTTTATGATGTTCTTGCGGCCTTTTGTCTTAGAATGGGAATTTCAGACTATAGACTCTGCCTGTATAAATCCACCATTTTGCACATTGCCCTGTGCACCTATATAGATTTCATTTACATCCACGGGCGCCAAGGCTGACGAAACAGACTGCCTATCAATCTAAATGAATAAGCATTTGTTAAGAATTCAAATAAAGATTAATAGAGACATTAAACCATAAATGATTGGAAAACATGTTATGCAAACAAGAAAGGTAATTTATTCCCTGCTTTTTCCTTTCTGATTTGGTTACAGAAGTAAAGAGCAATGAAAGTTTGCTCTATTGAAAGACCAGCGCCAGTAAATGTAAGGCCACTACATCAAATTCTGCCAAGTAATCGCTACCAAGTGAAATAAAGGAATAACTGAGGTGTTTGGGTACACTAACTATTAGCAGAGAGGATTTTAAGAAAGAAAAGAACAAATATGGTAGTGTATAAAAATATGTATATGTTGCAGTGAGAATAGATGATAAATGAAAACTAACATACATATTGTAACTTGGACAGTTAGCCGCTGTATTACATTTACGTAGCATATTATGCCAACTCATCACTACTACAAAAAAATCCTTTACTTGATGATTATGTTTTGCCTTATTTGACGGTTATTGACTGTCAAGCAAGATGGTATCATATGTTGAAGCCCTCTTATTTGATGATTAATAATCATCAAATAAGGGTGACCTTACTTGTTAGTTATTTAAATATAACCGTCAAGTATTATCTTCCATGTTTGACATTTGGTTAGTTCTAAAAGATAATAATTGACGGTTATTTTAAAATAATTGTCAAGTATTGTCAAATAAAATGACTTTATTTGACACTTATTTAAAATAAGAGTAAAGTAAAAGGATTTTATTTGACAATTGTTTAAAATAAAAGTCAAATAAAGTGACATTATTTGATAGTTGTTTATGATAATTGTCAAATAAAATAGTCTTGTTAACTTTGATTATGACTATTTTTATAATTTTTTAATTTAAACATTAAAAATAAAAAAATCAAATTAAAAATTGTTTCATCATGACATAGCAACAAACTATTATTAATCATGAAAAAAATTACAATCACTAATATATAATTTAAATTTACTCTCCAATTCCATAAAATACATGTACTCTTCAATTCCATATAAAATACAACACTTATTATTTTAAAAACAAATGTACAACCACCAAAGTCAGGTATACAACTTTTTAATTCTTCCCTCGACACCAAAAAAGGTGTTTGAAGTAATAAAACCTTATAATTGGTCTTCACATGATCATTTTTCAACACTTCATGATCATGTTCTTAAGAGCACTAAGAAGATTTTCAAGTTCTTTGTCAAACCCTCTAGTCCAAGCTCCATTCTCAGCATGTGCATAGCTGCAATATTAAAAAAGTGTGTAAAAATAACGTTAGAATACATATTTATTTGAAGACATATATTTGTAACCAAAAAACTTTACAAGCCAACAACACACATACATATACAAACCCTTACAAATAAGAACTAAAACAACATAACAAATATAGAAGACTCTAGTGGCCATACACTCCAACAGGAAAGAAGACATTTTTTACTTTCCTGTTTATTTTTTGTTTTATTATGCACAGGCATGTTGGCTCCTTATGCATTGGAGGCACATGTTACCCATGGTAGCTTCACTTACATGGGTTTACAAATATATATATATATATATATATAGTAAAGACTCTCATATGCTTGATGCAAGCATTCAACAATTAGAAATTTTTTAGCACAAAATTAAATTTAAAACTACTTTATCCAGTTAACAAATCACTATGTTTCCAGATCTTTATGACTGTCTTCTCATATATAGTACATGCGAGCGAATTTGAGTGGACTAAATTAACTGTACAGAATTTGAATGTAATCATCCACTGGACATTAACACAATGAGTAGAACTAGAAAATCATAATCTCTGCTGCTAGATTGCTACAGTAACTCTAGTGAAGGAATGTTATTTATTTGATACACTAGTCTTTGATCTAAATGCATAGAAATTAGGAACAATTAATGAAACCTGTAAGTGTGCATGTGAGAGTGATTAAAAAAAAAAAAAACAAAGGCATAAAGTAGTCCAAATGTACCTTCTACAGCATTGCCAGTTTAAGATTTAACACCAGTAGCATCATCTAACTTCAGAGAGAAATCCTTAATCAACCACATACATGAGAAGTCATTGGAAAAAACATTATTAATTATTCTTACTTGTTTAAAAACTATTGATATGATCTGCCCAAAAATTCAATTCCCAAATTCAACTCCAATCTGAAACTCAAGAGCAGGCTATATCAAACAGAGAGTGTAGCGGTTTAGAGTACCATTGCACATCACAATTGCAATTTATCCTTTTCTCTTCGGTATGTGCCTCTATTAAGGCCACCCAAGAAAATAAGAATTTAGCAGCTAACAAGTATATGATGTTAAACAAGCTAATATCATAATGGACTTACCTCAACACATTTTCTAAGAGCAAAATCAAAGCCCCACCCATGGACTAACTCAATCTGCAGTACCAAAGTTTGCAATTGTCAAAATGATTGGGGTGAATATGTGCTTGAATCAAAATTAATCCAATAAGTGCTTAATAGACAATTAGTTTCCATTCTTAGACAAAACATGCACCACTAGAAAATAAAGACAACACTCCCATCATTCTTACTAGTGAAATTCTTTATCACCTCTTCTCTTCGTCATCTACCATGTTAACCCTTTATTAGGTTCTAGAGTAAGATGTGAAACCTCCAAGCCATGCTCAACCCAAAAATAAAACAGGATAAAAAATATTTCATATCAAATACTCACTCCTCTATATTTAAATGCTCAAACCCAAGGTCTTTAGCCTATATAAATATATATAGTCATTTGGTGCCACAATGTCAAGATGCAAAAACCGCTTGGCATACCACCTAGGTGGCACATCATCTTCAATTATATGATAGACATAACAGACAAAGGATAAGAATTTTACATTAATTATTTGTTTAAAACATACTTGAACAAGCAATAATACTCTAGAGACAAGTACTTGCTCTATAGTGTTTATGTAAGGGATAAAAGATTACCTTCCATCTTTTAGAAAATAATTATATCTTCTAAGATGCTGAAAATGACGATTCTTTTGATCAACATGCTCCTTGATTGAGTTGAAGCTCTAGGGAAGAAGTTTGTTACTTTTCTGATCTAGATTAATCTCTCCCCTGTTGCTCAGAGATCTGCTAAGTTTCCTCAAGGAATTATTTTGCTAGAGATAGCCTTCTTCGTACTTGGCTCTTGGTCCACTCCTTCAAAACATTCTCTAATTCAACAAACACAATGTAAGCCAAGATTAGCTCTAAATTTTAACCAGCCTATCTTGATATTGTAAAATTGTCAAATCATCCATACCGTCAATGAAACAAGATCATCTTACATATTCTTTTCATGGTATTACTACCTATAATTTCTCAATATGTACACGTTCTTAAGGCTTGAAAAGTGTACTTAGCAACTGGAAAAAAAAAAAAAAAGAGTTGGATCATTGTGCACGTGTATAAAATAATAAATGTCAGCAATTATACAAAATATTCTTAGGTACATGACTAACGTGTGTGTGTGTGTGGGAGGGGTTTATCTTATATCCATTTCATTTCATTTAGCGGACAATTAATTTTTTGAATAATTATTGTTGCAATATTAACATTGCTTTTTTTTTTTCGCGAAAGAGGAGAAGAATATCTATGGAATCTAATGATTCAGCTGACGAAAGTAAATCTCCAACATGTAGTGAAGAAAACTGATCTAGCAAGGCGTCTTCTTTTGATTCAAGTTGGCTCTTGGTGATACTAGGGAAGCAATTAAAGAATATACATGATATATGATCGTAGCTAGTACTTACTTAAACAAACTCATTGAAGCCTGCAAAACCCCAACGAAGAATGTAGTAGAGAAAGCATGGTGAAGAAAGAACCTGGGGTCAATGTTGGGATTAACCAATCTGGATAGCATAAATCTCAGCAAAAGTGACCCAACCACTATTCCAGCTGCCAAATCCCTCAAACTTCCCGTTATTGCATAAATTAATGGTAGTTTAAAGATTGAATCTGCACCCGTTTTTTTTTTTTTTCCATTTCATAATCTAGAAGGTAACTCTAAACAAACAGTAGCAGTGAAGCAAGAGCTTTGTGAGTGGAATAGCAGCATCAAGGTGGGTATCGGACAAACGATTTGGCTTCAGCAGTAGCGAAAGAGGTGCGACGGTGGATCAAGGCTCAGCGGTAGCCGGAGAGGCACGACAGTAGATCTAGGTTGGGCAGTAGTGGAAGAGGCACAACAGTCAGCTTCTTCATTCAAATCGGTGGTGGCACTGAGGTTGAGCACGAGTTGGACGACACCGAGGTGGGCTTCGGAGGAGGAGGCAGGGTGCTACAAGGGCGACTACAGTGAAGGGTTGCTGGAAGAAAATAAGGGGGCTCATGCTCGTTGGTTATGTTATGAGATTGAGGGTTTTGTTTTAAAATTTTTTAGCAAATATTTGACGGTTACTATATTTAAATATCAAATTTATTTATTTAATACTTGACCTTTTTATAAATAATCGTTAAATAAATACTTTTTTTATCTCACTTTAATTTATATAATAGTTTTTTATAATCACCGTCGCATATTTATTTATATACTTAATGGTTATTTTAAATAATTATTAAATATTTTTTGCATTTGTTTATTTGACACTTTTTTAAAATAAATGACAAATAAGAAGTGTCATATTTAATTAATTTTATAGTAGTGCATTTTGATGTTGTTAGTGACAATGTGACCAAAAATCTTTTACGCCTATCAGATGAGATCATTTTGAAGCGATTCAAAACAAGTGAAATCAATAATTCACCCAAAAATTTATCAAAAAGGCTCTCTCTCGTACAACAAATCGCAGAGCATAACAATATTGGTGGAAATGTTAATCACAATCTAATATATAACTATTTCCTTATTTTGTTCATCACATATTTATTTATATATTTATAATTATTTTAAATAACTGTCAAATATTTTTCACGTTTGCTTATTTGACACTTTTTTAAAGTAAATGACAAATATGAAGTGCCATATTTAGTTAATTCTATAGTAGTGCGTTTTGATGCTGTTAGTGACAACGTGACTAAAAATTTTTTACGCCTATCAGATGAGATCATTTTGAAGCGATCCAAAACAAGTCAAATCAATAATTCACTCAAGAATTTATCAAAAAGGTTCTCTCTCGCACAACAAATCGCAGAGCATAACAATATTGGTGGAAATGTTAATCACAATCTAATATATAACTATTTCCTCATTTTGTTATGGTATGTGAGGAATAAAATCCAAACTGAGCAATGAAAGACCATTTAGAATGGGCACTGTCGAACAGAATTCTTCCAAAAATAATTCAAAGGACCTAACACATGTTTTCACGTCACTGTGAGATGTACCTAAAGAAGCAAAAAACAATTAAAAATCCAATGTATCATAAACTAAATTGAGAAAAGAAACATGCCCAAACCCAAAGCTTTGAACTCTGAAAGTCTAAAGTGAGTAGTCCTCCGAATCCTAATCCTTTTCATGGCTATAAAAAATATCCTTGATCGAATCTTGTTATAAAATTAAAAAAAATGCTATAAAATTAAATAGAAACTAAATTGAATCTTGTTACTAGCCATATTAAAAAAAAATATCCATGTCACCCTCAAGAGGGTACAATTTAAGAACAAAACATGTGCATGAAAATTCAGATCAAACCCGAACATTCACTCCACAGTTGGATGTTGAGGTAATCACAATTTTTAAGTTTATTATGAAGGTTTTGCATTGAGGACAACTTTAGTACAAAGTACTTGTTACTCATGTTTCCTTTTTATGGTTTTGAATAGAAGGATGTGCAAAATGAAGCATAGTTTTTTAAAATTAATGAATCATAAAGTCACCACTCATCGACAGTACATTTTCTCAAGCTATTGAAAATTGAATCGATCATTGAACTGGTCTAGACAGTAAATCAAGAGTTAATGGGTTAATCAGGAGTCACCTAAATTAGACCGGTAATAATTACTATGAGAAAAATTATTATTTAAAGCACCCTTTTCAAAAGCAGTTATATAGGAACCCTTTTAAAAAAATATGATCGGTGACATTTTTGTATATAAGCAACTTAGGAGATGGCTATTTAGAGCAGTTCTTTAAACATAAACATAAGCACAAACGTAAACATAAAAATTAAAAATGACGTTTAAAATTAAAAGAACTACAAATATTCATCCATAATATTAATACTAAAGCCATATTTATCATTGAACTACAAATCTAACATCATCAAACAAAGGTGGAGGAGATGAAATATTCATATATTCATCATCTATTATGAATATAACAAAATTCAAGATTAATCATTATGCGTGGAGATACGGGGTGAATCTGACTATGAAGTGAAGCTGAATATGGCTGTGGCAGAGTGAAGCAGATGATGGCAGTGGGGTAGTGAAGCACAGAAACAGACGAAAGACTAGATGAACATTGAAGAAGAAGAAGTAAAGAACTGAAGAAGAAAAGAATTAGGATTCGGAGGACTTCTCACTTTAGACTTTTAGAGTTCAAAGCTTTGGGTTTGGTCATGTTTCTTTTCTCAATTTAGTTTTTGATCAATTTAGTTTATGATACATGAGATTTTTAATTGTTTTTGCTTCTTTGCATACATCTCACAGTGACGCGAAAACATGTTAGGTCCTTTGAATTATTTTTGGAAGAATTCTGTTCGACAATGCCCATTCTAAATGGTTTTCATTGCTCAATTTGGATTCTATTCCACGCTTACCAAAACAAAATGAGGAAATAGTTATATATTAGACTATGATTAGCATTTCCACCAATATTGTTATGCTCTGCGATTTGCTATACGAGAGAGAGCCTTTTTGATAAATTTTTGGGTGAATTATTGATTTCACGTGTTTTGGATCGCATCAAAATGATCTCATCTGATAGGCATAAAAGATTTTTGGTCACATTGTCATTGACAGCATCAAAACAAGTTGGCACAATATGCTACATAAATGTAATATGGCGGCTAACTGTTAAAGTTACAATATGTTAGTTTTCATTTATCATCTATTATCACTGCGACATATACATATTTTTATACACTGCCATATTTGTTCTTTTCTTTCTTAAAATTTTCTCTACTAATAGTTAATATACCCAAACACCTCATTTATTCCTTTATTTCACTCAGTAGCAATTACCTGATAGAATTTGATGTAGTGGCCTTACATTTACTGGCGCTGGTCTTTTAGCAGAGCAAAATTTCGTTGCTCTTTACTTCTGTAACCAATAAAGAAAGGAAAAAACAGGGAAGAAATTACCTTTCTTGTTTGCATAACATGTTTTCCAATCATTTATGGTTTATTGTCTCTATTAGTCTTTATTTGGATTCTTAACAAATGCTTATTCGTTTAAATTGATGGGCAGTCTGTTTCGTCAGGCTTGGTGCCTGTGGATGTAAATGAAACCTATATAGGTGCACAGGGCAATGTGCAAAATGGTGGATTTATACATGAATGGAGCTAAAATATAACTTGGTGGTGAAAAATTAAATAAAAATACACATTTAAATAGTGATTCTAAAAATTTAATTCAATGTTTGAAAATTATTGAAATAAGTTAAGAAAAAAAAAAGTTATGTACTTAGCCTTATATAGATAAGAAGTTTATTTTCAATTAAATCGAGACAAATAAATTTGTTTTATTTTAATTATTCTATAATAAAGTATTGTTATTAATATTATTAATACTTTAAAATAAAAAAATATAATAAGTGTATTTAGGGGGAAAAATAAAACTATGAATAATAGTTTCTTGAGAAAATTTGGTCATTCCACCCTTAGCTTACCAGTTCAACCTTAAACGGAAAAAAAAGATTAATCTCTTTTTTTCATAAATATAAGAAAAACTATTTATCATGTATTTCTAAATTTTTTTTATTTATCCATATTTAAGCTAAATCACATTTTTAAATTATTTTACTCATACTTTAATAAATTTAAAAATATATTTAAAAAATTAAAATAAAATATACAAATTAGTTTTTTTTAAAATAAATATGAAATGATTCACTTTTAAATAAATAAAATCTTAAAAGTGATTTTTAAAAAAAAAAAATAAACTCAAGGGACACAGTTTTTAAAATAGGAGGAGTGCATAAAAGGTTTTGAGAACTCCACGAGAAATGTTAATACATGAGACAATTTTATTTAAGGATCGTAGAAGGAAAATATCTTCAGATGGCTCCTTAAAAATTGCAAAATTTTAGTTCAGTCACTCAAGACTAAACTAAAAATAAGTTTGATAAGAAAAAGATGAAGCTACCCTCAGTACAAATACTAAAGAAAATAAGTACATGTGTTAGTTGTCTAATATCACTTGTTAATTCTCTAATACCTCTTGCAAACCTCCTCTGAATTGTACCCATGTTTACATGTTATCACCAGTTGTTAATTGTGAGACTCCAATTGTAAATTTATTAATGACAGATGTCAATTTGAGGACAACGACAAAGCATGTTCACGACTTGGCTTAATCTTTTAGATCTCGTTCGTGGGAGATGACGGAACACCACTTTTTCCACTCATTAATTCTCCAATACCCCTTGCAAACCTCGTCTGAATCATACCGGTGTTTACAGATTATCACCAGTTGTTAATTGCGCGACTCCAATTGTAAATTTATTAATGACAGTTATCAGTTTGAAGACAATAATCAAGCATGTTCACGACTTGGCTTAATGTTTTAGATTTCGTTCGTGGGAGATGACGGAACATCACTTGTTAGTCATCCAATGCCACTCGTTAATTCTCCAATGCCCCTTGCAAACCTCATCTGAATCGTATTCATGTTTATATGTTATCACCAGTTGTTAATTACATGACTCTAATGATAAATTTATTAATGACAGTTGTCAATTTGAGGATAATGACCAAGCATGTTTACGACTTGGCCTAATCTTTCAAATCTCGTTCTTGGGAGATGGCAGAACACCACTTGTTAGTCACCCAATGCCACTCGTTAATTCTCTAATACCCCTT